GAGCCGCTGGGCCGGGAGAACACGTGACCTGCAGTGGGCACGGCAGGCTGGGCTCCGAGTAACACACTTGCTCGGGGCTGGATCCTAGTGGTGGCCGAGCACCGGTGCCTGCGAAGCCCCTGCCCAGTGCTGGGTCCTCTGCGAAGCCTGTGAGCCACCGTTCCTTGCCTTGCACGGACCAGCCCTGTGCTAGCTGAGCGCTGGGCCGAGGGACGATCGCTTCCGTGGTAGCACAGCGGAGAACAGGGCGTTGGCCCCCCAGCGCGTGGCAGCCAGCCCCCCAGGCCAGCCAGCGGCCCCTGTGGAGAGCTGGTGAGGGGGAACAGGCAGCACCAGCTGCCTGTGGCCCTGCCCTTGTGTTGCGGCGGGATGGCGATGTCCCCAGGGACGCATCTCCGTGTGCTCCCTGCGCAGCAGGAGTCAGGCGTGGAGTCTTTCTGGCGGTGCTCGGGGCACCCGCTCTGCCCTCCTTTGTTTCTCCTGGGCCCCTCTCTCTGCACGCCCCCCCTGGCCTGGCTCAGAACCCCGCCCCAGACATGCACTATCGCCTGTTCCCCCCGCCAGGGGAGAGGTGCTGGTGCTGGGCAGGCTCAGTGGGACTCTCTGGCTCATGGGCATCTTCTTTTTTCCAATAAATGAGAGCTCCAGCCCCAGCCTCCTGGTGTCCGTGCGCAGCCGCTGCCTGATGCAGCTTCTTTGGCAGCCAGGCGGGGTGAGCTTGAGTCCTGCTCACTCTGGGAGGGCAGACAGGCGGCGTGGGCGCTGGGTAGGGTTACGGGACAGCAGGAGCTGGCCTGTTGTTAACATTGCAACGTGGCTTCTGCTTAAATCAGGGGTGGGAACCTTTTTTGGGCCGGGGGCTGCTGACCCACAGACAGATCAGTCGGGGGCTGCACACAAGTGAGAAGCAAAAAAAACCCCTCACTGAGACGGCCCCTGACGGAGGAGAAAGATCTTCTCCGCATTCCCCGCTCACACCAGAGCCTTGAGGGGCCCAGGCTAGAGGATTTTGTGTGCTCCAGCCCCATGGAGGGATGCTGGGGGGGGCTGGAGCACCAGCTCGGGCGCCTCAGTGCTGGGGGGCAGCCCTGAACCTTGGGGACTGAATGTAGGCAAGCCAAGGGCTGCGTCCAGCCCCAGGCCTTAGGTTCCTCACCCCTGGTTTACATTTTCCATCTTCTCTGAAGTCTCTGCCCCTACTCAGAGGGGCTGGGGAAGTGGTCTGCTAGTTCAGATTCCCAGGGTCACTGCATCAAAACAAGATACAAAACCAGTCGTCGCGGGGGGCTGCAAGACCTCCGTTTCTCATAACCCAATTGTTGCCAGCAGCAGTGCTCCCAAAAGCACATGGCCTGGGGCAGCGGCCCCACACCATCCTAAGGCCGGGAGGGCTTCCCACAGAGCCACGCTTATGTGGGCCCCAGAACAAATTCAAACCCCATTCAGACAGAGTTCGTAGCTGCCTTGGGTTTGGGGTCTGCGGGGTGGCGGGGCAGACGTCAGAGCCCTCCCTGGAGATTGCCAGCACTGCCTCTAGCATTGCCCGTGTTCTCCACCAAAACAGCTAGACCCTGGATTCCAGTCTGCTCTTGCTACAGATGTTCCTGTGTCCTTCACGGCCCAGGCGATGGACCCCAGCACTAGGAGAGGAACAACCACCGGTCGCTCCTTTGACAGCCAGGGGAACTGAAGGCCTGAACCTGGCCTCTGATGTGGCCGACCCGTCTCCTTCGTAAGCCATGCCTGGTTGAACCCCGCTCTCCTGGCTAGCCATGCGCTTCCTGCCCACCTTTCCCAACAGCCAGCTGCAGAACCCAGCTCTCTGGGGGCGGGGAACCCACATTTTGCTGTAGGCTCGCTGAGTGCGCCAAGGCTTGGCCGGGCAGGGCTGTCTGGAGTGAGGGCCGCTCCGGCGAGCGGGAACGCTGTCATGGTGCTGGCTACGGGAGGGGATGGTGTGTGGGGCACAGGCTGTGGGGCGGGAACGCTGTCATGGTGCTGGCTACGGGAGGGGATGGTGTGTGGGGCACAGGCTGTGGGGCGGGAACGCTGTCATGGTGCTGGCTACGGGAGGGGATGGTGTGTGGGGCACAGGCTGTGGGGCGGGAACGCTGTCATGGTGCTGGCTACGGGAGGGGATGGTGTGTGGGGCACAGGCTGTGGGGCGGGAACGCTGTCATGGTGCTGGCTACGGGAGGGGATGGTGTGTGGGGCACAGGCTGTGGGGCGGGAACGCTGTCATGGTGCTGGCTACGGGAGGGGATGGTGTGTGGGGCACAGGCTGTGGGGCGGGAACGCTGTCATGGTGCTGGCTACGGGAGGGGATGGTGTGTGGGGCACAGGCTGTGGGGCGGGAACGCTGTCATGGTGCTGGCTACGGGAGGGGAAGGCACGTGGGGAAATACCAAGGCCTATTACTCTTACCTCCTGCATAGCACAGGCCAGACACCTGCCCCTGAGAAATCCCTCGCTCTGATCTGTAGAAAACAGTCAGTCTTGACTTGGTACTTGGCAGTGATGGAGAATCCCTGGGCCCCTTGGCGCATGGGTCCAACCCTTCCTTCCTCTGCCAGCTAAACGCTTCTGCCTTAGCCCTCGTCTGAGTTTCTCGGGCTCGTTTCCTTCCAGGCCTGGGGGGAGTTCTGCCTTTCTTTGCTAGACTGGAAAGCCCGTTGTAAACACCTGTTCCTTGTGTAGCAGCTTACCGGCTGTCCCCGTGTCACCCCTGGGCCTGCTCTTTAATTCACCAGACCGAGTTCCTTGCGTCTGTCATTGCAGTGCTTGTTTTTTCACCCTTAATCTTCTTGGGGCCCTCTCCAGTTTATCGACACCTTTCTTCAGTTGCGGGCCCTGGAACTAGCCCCAGGATCCCAGCTGTGGCCATGCCAGGGCCCAATACAGAGGTACAAGAACCTCTCCGCTCCCTCTCCAGATTGCCAGGTTTGTGCGTTCCGGGCTCTCGTGAGTGCTCCTGGCCAGCGTCGCACTGGGAGTGTGAGTTCCACTGACTGTCCACCCCGGGCACCGTGCTGGGGTCAGAGTCCCTGCTTCCAACTCTTCTTTTTGGCTTGCGCCCATTTACCACGTGGTCCGTCACTCTGTGACCTTCCACTTCGTTATTTCTCCCTCCAACTTGTGTGTCATCTGCAGACTTGTATGTATTTTCTTCCAGGGCATTGACAAAGCTGTTAGCTGGCCAAGAACCGAACCCTGCAGGACCCCACTAGAAACTCACCCGCCCAGTGACAATTCCTCATTTACAGTTCAGTTTTAAGAGCGATCTGTTAACCAATTTGTAATCCGCAGTTAATGTGTGGCTGGCACAGCTCGCTACTCACAGCTGGTGGCTCATCTGCGGAGTCTCTCTCTGCTGGTTGGCCAGCCCTTCCCGTGGTCTCTCAGCCCGTTGTCTCAGTCTAAGACTCTGGGGAGTTGTCTTCGTTGTGACTCGGCTGCTCCCTCTTTGTGACTTAGCCCTCCAGCCAGATCGCTACCGGCCTTCCCTTGCCGGGTGGGCCAGAGTCTCTCTGGCCAAGTTGTTCCAAGCAGGCCTCTATCCTAACCCCAAACCTGTGCCACTTCCCCAGTAGATGGTCGGGGAACACGGGCCTGCCTCTACTGCCGATTCCAGCTGAGGGCCTGTGCTCCACAGCGATGGTCAGCTGACTTCACAGCTAGGACAGAGGGAGGCTGAAGGGGTGATGGTCACCTGCACAGAAACGGGGGAGCAAGGGAGTGTCCATAAAGCCAGGAGCTGGCAGCAAGGGGGAAGAGAGGGCTGCAGCGGGGGAGCAGGAGACTCTGGAGCCATAAGGGCTGCGTGAGGTCCCTGGCTATACAGAGACACGTCTACTTCAATTCTCCTTTTCACCAGGCTGGTTTTCAATCAGCACAACTTCCTTGATCCGTCGTGGGGTGGTGGCTCTCTGGGCAGCGCATAAGGTGTTCTGACACGATTCCTAACCACCAGTCACACCTTTCCAAGGAAACTTCTTCCTGGCTGCTTTGGCTCATCATTGCATCCGGTTCTGGGAAACTGGCCCTAGTAAAGCACCAAGTATAAAACCCTAAGGCTATGTCTACACTGGCGGGTTCTGGTGCAAGAGTTCCTGCGCAGGAACACGTCCACATGGCCATGTGCTTTTGCACAAGAGCGCCCATGGCAGTGTAGATGCTCCCTTGCGCAAGAAAACTCTGATGGCCATTTTAGCCATGGGGCTTTCTTGCGCAAGAAACCCCAGCGTCCACACTGCCTTCTTGCACAAGAGCTCCTGCGCAAGAGGGCTTGCACCTCTTAGAAAAGAGCATAGCTCTCGTGCAAGAAGCCCTCTCATCCCACGCCGTGCTGGAAATCTGCTTGCGCAAGAGCGGGCGGGCAGTGTGGACGCTCTGCGGAAGAACGGCCGTTCTTGTGCAAGAACCTGCCAGTGTAGACATAGCCTAAGAGTGACCATCCTAGTCAGACCAGTGGCCGGCCTCGTCCCATATCATGTACTCTGATCGTGCCCAGGGCCAGGTGCTTCACAGTGAATGAATCGAACCTGGCAATAGGGATGTGAACGACGAGTCGCTTTCCCCCCTCCCCCCTGTTGCCTCTATAAGAAAGAGGCAACAAGGGGGAGGAGAGGAGAGGAGAGGGTGCTTCAAAGCAGCAGCGCCGTGTGGAGCCCAGGGTCAGCTGGGGATGGCTCCATGCGGCGCTGCCACTTTGAAACGCCGCAGGGAGCACGGGGCAAGCTGGGGACTCAAGCTGTCCCCTGCTGGCCCGAGGCTCCCCGCTGCAGTTTTGCCTTTGATGCGTAGCCTCAGCCCTGGAGCTGTTGCTACACTTCAAAGGTGGAGGTGCCCTTATCAACTAATCAATTAGCCCATTAATCTAAACTTAACATCCCTACCTGGCAAATCTCAAGACATCCATTCCCAGCTTCTGGCAGCTG